ACTTTTGTCTTGGTACTTGGAGGTGGGCAAAACGGTATCAGAACAAGACCACAGAGGATGAGGCTGCCCACCACTGGCTATGCACTAGGGTACGACCAGTGGAATTTGCATCGAGACTTGTGCAAATCTGTCTCCTCCTTTCAGCTGCTTTAGAGAGAGGCTGTAAGATACGAACGGGAAACGGGAAGAAGCCCAAGGAAGAAACAGGGAGGAGACCAAGAGTGCACTCGTTTGGTGGGCTTCTTAACTCCAGAGTGCGCCAAGCACTCGCCTGCTGCTCCCATTGTATCAGAAGCTCTGCGCCCTCACAGGACAGAGGCACTGCACTTCACGGCCCGGGGGCTCCCTGGACGGCTAAGGACCCACACACTGCTTCTTTCTCACGGAGAAAGCAAAGCCCTGTGAGAACAGGGTGACAGCTGCGGTTTAGATCTGGGTTCCCACCAAATGCAGCCAGAGCCTGGTCCTCAGGCCTCAGGTGAGGAAGTGTAACCGCTGCTCAGGCCGGCAGGCCTGCATCCTGCAGACCACGGGAAACAACATGACACCATCGCTCTGGGGACACGCAGCACCTCTGAAAAGCAAAGCATAAGCCAAGTACCTAACGCTGAGGTAACACTGAGAGCAAGTCTGAAGTGTGGGGTGAGGCTCAGCAGTGGGGCACCTGCCCAGGGTGCTTGAGGCCCTGAGTTCATCCCCCAGCACTAAAGGGGAAAAAAGAACCCTGGGGAAAGGGGAGGCAACATGAGGCATGCCTTGAGAGGCAGGCGTGCGTCAGGGAAGCTGGGCAGGACATGCTGAACAAGCTCTGAAGAGACAGATGGGAGAGGCAGACTCGTGAGGCAAAGGAGTATAAAAAGACGCAGGGGTAGAGGCACCAGACTCAGACCAGGCCGGAACGCAAAGATCTTAAATGGCTGGACACAGGCAGGCAGGGCCCTGAAGGAACAGTCGTAGCAGCAAATCACCTCAGGAACCCATGGGGGGGGGGTCCACAGGGTGCCCTGGAGGCCTCAAAGCCTGAGGGGGGATTTACACGTAACTGGGTCACTACTAAAGGGACAAGGGCTCAGGCTGGACATGGGGCTGAGACAAGGAACAAACGGTGTGACCCAAAGGCACAATCTTCAGGGTGTCTGCACTACAGCATGGAGGCGGGGCAGGAGCAGGACGGGACAGCTGTGAGTGCTGGGTGGGACAAATCATCAGAGCCCTTCCATCACGTCTCAACTGTCCAAGGGACAGCTGTCCTTGAAAGAAAAAGACACCCGAGCTCTCACATCATGGCCTCTCAGAATTCCCCTCACACATCCAGCCAGGAGGTCTTTAACATGGGGGAAGCACCTAGAACTCTCTAGGCTCTGTCTTATTTCTGAGTCAGGGTCTCACTCTGTGGCCCGGCCCAGGCTGAATTTGAGATTCACCACACCTGCCTGAGTTTGAAAACTGGTATTTTGTCCTAGAATTAAAAAAAAAAAAAAAAATGAAACACTGCCCCACAGCACAGCCTGACCCCTGATCTGGAGACCGTAAACCCTTTGCGCAGGCAAGGAGGCCAAAGCCACCCCAGGAAATGTGTCCACGTGAAACCTGAAAATGTGGACATCATCGTGGACCAGAGCCTTCACAAAATGTGACAGAGTGCACATGACCAGGAGCATGGGTGACGGAGAGAACACTGAACCCAAGCATCTCCCCTCCCCCGATAACTCCCTCACTTTCTCCATTTTGGCAGCCGCTTCTACACTAACCTCCCACTGAACACCTCACAATGTCACAATGCCTCTCAAAACCACTCAGGTTCAGTTTGCTTAAATGCCTTTCTTAAACTCAGATGAGCTAATGAAGCCTTAGCAAGACTTCACATGCTGATGACGCTCAAGGAATAGGGAACTTTCATTATTCAATAGAGATGCAACAAAATATGACTCCTGTCTGTACTAGGCAATGTTCACCTGACAATTCTCGGCAATCCTAGCCCACAAACTCTGCCTTCATAGGAACAAAGGTGTGACTGGTTAGTTCCTTTCCTCCCAGCCTTCTTCTCTAAGACACAATGAACCTGTTCAGTGCCATCCTCCTCCTCTGAGGACTCTCATGGCAACTGGGCTACATATTATACACTACTGTTTGCCTTAATTAAAAAAAATTGCTGGGCGTTGGTGGCACACGCCTTTAATCCCAGCACTCAGGAGGCAGAGGCAGGTGGATCTTTGAGTTCGAGGCCAGCCTGGTGAGTTCCAGGACTGTAGGAATAATGGGTTGGGACCACAAAAGGCAGGTCCCTGGGGACCATCCCCGGTGGGGATAGACCGCAGGAGGGTTGGGAAACAGAGACCTGTAGACTGAAGGGGAGGTAAGAAAATAAGGTAAAGAGACACAGAGGCAGAAGAGAAGGAGACAGGAGAAGTCCTGTCTGCCCCAGGGGAACAGCGGGAAAGGGAGCATAAGTGGGCAGGGGTCTTTCTTTTAAAGGGGTCCTTTGCACCTGTGACCAGAATACATAGCCACGGAACCCTGGGCTGACCAGGGCACTGCCTGAGCGCATTCTGCCAAGAGACAAGGGCAGGCCAGCGTAATGCCTGAGTCCTTACAGTCAGAGTTGTTACACAGAGAAACCCTGTCTTGAAACAACAACAACAATAACAATAAATAAAACAAAGTGAAATGCTGAGGCTCCTACGCCTGGAAATCAGTCAGGAAAGGGCGAGCGCTGACAACCCTAGGCCCGGGAGGAGGAAGGAAATTTACTTTATTTTCAGACCCAAGGAAAAAAAAATCAACAATCCAAGAGGAAGTAAGCCACTGCCAAAACAAAAGTAGTTTACAAGCGGCTTGTTGTTAAAACCGGGGGGCGGCTACGAATTTGAGTTTATGCAAAAGTCATGCATAAAATTTGCAAGCAAACTTCCTAATTTTGAGACCAGTAAAGGAAATCAGGAAGTCTGAACACTAAGCAATCCATGCACCTTTTTATGAAATCCAGGGTTAGAAGAGGCTAACCTCTGCTTCTGACCACAGACTCGCAGAACATTTTTGAAAATAAAATCATTTTTTACATTTATCAGAAGGATATGCACGCCAGAGTGGAGAGCGGAGGTCAGAAGACAACTCATGAGGGCTCTCGTCAATACCAACCCCAGATCACTGAGCCGGGCTCACCAGCCCACATCAAGCTTTTAACACACCAAGTCCCGGCGTTGGTGGCGCACGCCTTAATTTAAAAAAAAAATTGCTGTGCATTAGTGGCGCACGCCTTTAATCCCAGCACTCGGGAGGCAGAGGCAGGCGGATCTCTGTGAGTTCGAGGCCAGCCTGGTCTACAGAGTGAGTTCCAGGACAGCCTCCAAAGCCACAGAGAAACCCTGTCTCGAAAAACCAAAAAAAAAAAAAAAACATCACCTGCTGGCCCCATCCTGGTGCCTCACCACACGGGGACTGCCCAATGCCTCCTCCCACCCTCCCACACTTCAACAGTGTTGCAGGTGACTGACTCGCCACTGGACACCCCGACCTCAGGCCAGGAGGACGAGGACAGGCCCAGCCCCCCCCACCCCTCTCTCTCATGTGAAGCAGGAAATATGACAAGGACTAGCCACTCAAAAACTGAGGTTGCAACGAGAAATCCAGAGTCGAACTGGACCCAAAGGTTCAGCAGGCCACCACAGAGGGAAAGAGGGTAAGCAGGGTCAGTGGGTGGCGGGACAAAATGGCTCCTGTAACAGAGGGAGCTAGGCACAGGAGAAAGAAGTTCCGGGGACAGCCAACTGCTGCCAAGAGCCGCCCTCCACCTCCAGGCTCCAGCCTGTCCCAGCAGGAATTCCTGAACTTTCTATGTGATTCCTATCATATCACGTGCTTTAGTCCTCTAACAAAACCCCTTTCAAGCCGGGTGGGGGGGTGGGGGGCGGGGCAGGGGGGGCAGTGGCTTGCACCACACAACCAAAAGCCAAGTCAGCCTGCAAACAGAAAAGGGTCTTTCTCACAAACCAGTCACGTAAAATATTAAGGGGAAATGCGAAACTATTTTTAGGATACCAAACTCCCACCCATAACAACAACCAAGGCTCACACCTGACAAGGAAGATGTACAAGGAGCTGTCTGTGGTAAGGATGCAAATGTCCCGCCCAGACAGAGAGGTACGGGCAGGCGACTACTGCTAAAACTGGTTAAACTGTGCAGCTGCATGAGGCCTTTTCACTGTGCATAAATAATACTTCAACCAGGAAAAAAAGCAAGCAAGGCTTCCTTGAGAGGATTTGAGTTTTTATTTTGCTTTTCAAGACTACTGACCTAACGAATCTCAAAGTACACTGCTCGGGGGAAGCTCCAAAAACAGAACACTGGAGCTTTTCCTCACAGAGCAGAAAAACAGTCAACCAGAGGAGAGGGCAGGAAGGAGGGCAGCAGCCTGGGAAATGGTGCAAACTCCAGTCCCAGCCAGAGGAGCCTGAGGCAGCGAGGTCATGAGTTCCAGGCCAGCCTGAGACACTCGCTCTACAGATATGGGAACTGGGCCCCAAATGGAGCAGGGTTTATCTCCCGGCTGGGTTCTGCATGTTCTGAGCTTGGCACAGGTACATCCCTATGTGTAATTTTCATGATAGATACACTCTCCTGATATGTCATATATTTCTGTATGAGCCTCACACCTTAATAGTAACACAAAAGAAATGACATGGAATGTCCTGAAGTAATTTACTAGTGATTGAAAATAGTGCTTGGCGCCGGGCATTGGTGGCGCACGCCTTTAATCCCACTCGGGAGGCAGAGGCAGGCGGATCTCTGTGAGTTCGAGGTCAGCCTGGTCTACAGAGTGAGTTCCAGGACAGCCTCCAAAACAATACAGAGAAACCCTGTCTCAAAAAACCAAAAGAAAAAAAAAAAGAAAGAAAGAAAGAAAATAGTGCTTGGCTTCTTCTTAACCTAGTAAAATGCTTGTCAGTCTAATTCAGATAGGTAACAAAATAAACACCTTAGCTATTCCATTTGTGGAATTCTGGTTTGAATCACAGATTTCCTATGTGATGAGAAAACTGACTGAATGGCCCTGCTTGTTAACACATAGGGAAAACTCCATTACACAGTACTCGGTCCTGAGACCCACGGCTGCCCTCCAAGCAAGCGTCACAAGGCAGAACCGCACTCCCTGTCCACAGCTACTTGAACAGATAAGACCAACAAAGCCCACAGGAAGTGCTGGGTCAGGATCCCACTTCTGTGTTCTCCAAGGGAGACTGATGCAAGCTCACACATCACCCCAGAAACGTTGCCAGGCACAAACATGCAGACCTGCAGTTCCAGAGGCTTGCATTTTAAAAAAACATCGCAGAGTCTGGACACAAGTCACAGTCACAGAGACAGCAGGGGAGTGAAGCAAGACAGCAAGGAACGTGGACTGCAGAGCATCCACATTTAATCTTAACAAGAAGCCAGCGTAAGATGAAATGTAAGTACTTACAGCCATAATTAACTCAAAGGGGTGCTTATACACCCTCACTGGGGACTGGTATTTTTGCACCATGGTTGTAATTCAATAGCAATCTTCTTACTCCTGAAAAACAAAAGCATGAGGAATAAATAACCACATTACAGGGGGAAGTGAGTCTGAATTCACATGTCATGCCAAAGAGACCGCCACAGGTCAGAATCCCAGGCAGACGAAAAACACGGGATATTCTGACAGGGGGACTGCCAAGGCACTAAGAAGATGCAGAGAAGGCCCACAGGGGAGGATGGAGACACTGAGGGAGGCCCCCTGCCCCCTGGATCCGCATCCCTGAGTCAGGGGATCTAGTCTTCCACAGCAGTAAAATCCTAGGATTCAGCTATTCTATTTTCTCTTGAACAGCTTCTACAAGGGGCCAAACAAACATAGCAACACGTTAAGACATAAGCTGTGGGGGGCGGGGATCGATGGATGGACACTGGATGGAAAGTTTGTCAGATAATTCTCAGCTTATGGAATACTCCTAGAGAGCTGGCTTCACCGGGAACTTCGTGGCTTCCTGTTCCTAACGGCAGGCTCCAGCTCAGCTAAAGGGGCTCCAAAAACCTCCAGCCTCCCTCCAGAAGCTTCGATTCTGCAAAGTAATCAATTACATGCTCAAGGCTGAGGTCAAGGAACCCTCCTTTGCATACATAATCACTCCATTGCTGGCAAGGGTGGCTTTCTCTGCAAATACCCTTGTGTTCAGAGTCATCTGGAACGTCACACTCACCTACTAAAATGAAAGAAAGAAAGAAAGAAAGAAAGAAAGAAAGAAAGAAAGAAAGAAAGAAAGGAGAGGGGGAGAAAGAAAGGGAGGGAGGGAGGAAGGAAGGAAGGAAGAAGGAAGGAAGGAAGGAAAGAAAAAGAAAGAAGGAAGAAAGAAAGAAAGAAAGAAAGAAAGAAAGAAAGAAAGAAAGAAAGAAAGAAAGAAAGAAAGAAAGAGAAAGAAGAAAAACCCAGTGAGCCTGCCAGCCCTGCTTAGGCTCAATCGGTAAGGCTGTTATTTTAACTGGAAATGGTGAAAAGACATTCAAAAGTTCATAAGTGAGTATTGGGTATCTAACCATCCCAAATTCCAGCTGTAAAAACAAGCAACAAACCTATGCTGATACATTTCAGAGATTTGCAATCTATATAGCTGCACTTCTACAACTGTTTACGTGTTTTAAACAGGTCTGGAACTTTCTCTGCTATGTTTGCTTGGCACACCACTCGGGAAGGAGCAGGTTATGCTGGAAAACCACCAAGAGCTGGAAAACTACAAAGGCTAGAAACTCTGGGTGACCTCAAGCATGCCGTTCGCCTTTCCTAATTCCATCTCTGAGAGATGATCTTACAACCCCAGCTTTCAAACCGTGAGGCAATGAGCCAAACTCCTCGGTTCTCCTCCAAACTCAAGCCTTCATTAATCTTGATTTCAGGCGCTGACGCGTCCTGGAGCGCGGAGACCGCGTTCCATTCACTCTCGTAAACCTTACAATGCTGGTGCTCGGTGGGGAATCTAATAATCGTTTACGTTTTTTTTTAATTGAGAGAATCAGTTTTCCGGTTATCTCCAAAATAAAAGGGGGGATGATTACCAGGTGCTGACGGATAGGGCGAGGATGCAAGCACTGCGTGGTGCCTGTATTAAGAAACTCTTACCCAAAGTGACTACCTCAAAGACCAGCTTGCCCGCCAGCTCCCTGAACTCGGGCCGGTTCTCGGTTTTTTTTGGGGGGGGGGCCTGGTCCAGATCCGGTCCCTGCGCGGGCATCCGGAGTGACCCCCGCCAAATGGCACGGGAGGCCGGGGCTGCCTCTACTGCATGATAATTGGTGTTTGAAAATCATCCCAGGGTCGGCCCCGGGGAAGCGCCTCCCTGCAGGCCGGGGCTGGACGGAAGGGGTCGGGCCGGATCGGGGCGGCGGCGACGGCGACTGAGGGACCCGGTCGGCTCGGCCGAACCGGAGAGGGCGAGCGCAGGCAGCCGCCGCGGCAGAGGGACCCGGCCGGGGGCGGGGACCCGGGCGCGCTCCTAGCCCTCCACGACGACGACGCGCGCTTACCTCTAATCAAAAGGATCGGGTCGGGGACGCGGGGCGGCGGGATGCGTTCATGCCGGCGGCTCCGCGGGGAGAAAGCCGTGCCACAGGCTCGGCTGCCGCCGCTCGACCGCCGGTTCCGGGGATGGGGGGGACAGGGCGGGAGCGCCAAGGGGCGCGGCGAGGGCTCGAGTGGTTGTTACGGGCGACGGGGAGGGAGGGGCGAGCCCCCGGAAGGGGTGCGCGTGCGCACACCAGGCCGAGGGGGGGCGGAGGAGGGAGCGGGAGGCGGTTGCTAGGGAGGGGGAGGGGCGGCCGCCCGGCGCGCGGTGGGGAGGGGAGGAGGGCGCGAACTGCGCCGGCGCGAGTTCCCGACCTGCGCGTGCGTAGGTGGAGCCCCAGGAAGCAGCCTTGCCCAGACGCGAAGCGAGCCCCGGCGGCTCCTCCTCTTTGGCGTCACGGGGAGGGGAGGGGCGATGGCGGTGGGCGTGGCTTCGCGATTCTCCGCCCACGGACCGCAGGGGAGAGTTGGAATGCGAATCCCGGCTGGGTGCGTTCCGCGGAGCTGGCGGCTCTCGGGGCCGCAGCCGGCTGGGATACTGCGCGCCTGCGCCGTCTGGAGCGTGCTCGTGTGCTTCCTTTTTTTCCTTGACGGCTCAAAGCATCCTGCACCCCTGTGGTGCTCTGACCGCCTTCTGGCCTGGCCTAGCAATGGGGGACGGAGCCAACCGGGCGGGGAGGAGCGCGGTGGAACCAAGCACGCTGGTCAGCACATCCAGATGGCTGGGGCATCGCGGGCTGTGGGGTGGAGCTAAGGCGAGGGGCCTCAGCGGGGTCGTAGGTGCAGCCTTGCATTTCAGCATCTCCGATTTTAAAAACCTAAGAGCGACGCACAGGGACGTTTAGGGGTCCTGGAGAGGGACACGCGGCTGTAAGCGACACCTGGCTGGTGCGGATCCACCCACACTGCAAAGCTGGGTTTTAGAAGCCACACACAATTTCTCCATCAATGTCAACTGTTGTTCCGTTCACGTTAGTCACCCCGGGCGGTTGTCTTTGCATAGAAGAGTCCGGGAATTTCCTTCAGGGCCTGTTTACCCACCGCACAAGCGTGTCATTCATTGCTCGATCGCACCATTTTCCAACTCAAACCATCATTTTCCAGCTTTGCAACCCAGGTTACTCAGACTGGATGGTGACGTGTCCTCCTGTTAAGGATCACATTCACCTTTGAAAGATCATTTGGAAGAAACGGGTTGGTAAAAATGAGCCCCTTGGTAGGCGCCAATGGCAGCACCTAATGGGGTGGCTTTGTCCAGACTCCACAGTTGTGACTAACCTACAGATGCTACCACAAATTTACAGGAAATAAGAGAATAGAGGGTGGTGTTCAGTGACACCGTGGGATACAATCTGAAAAGCACAGACCTTAAGGACACAGAACAAACATTCTTTATCGAATAATTTATAAAGAAAGATGAGAAGTCTAGTCAGATTAAGAACTGGGAAGTTCACTTAAGCCAGACAATTATGATCTGCACTGGCTGTTCTTCCAGAGGACATGGATTTGATTCCCAGTACCTATATGGCTGCTCATAACCCTCTGTAACTCCAGCCCCAAAGGATCCGATGCCCTCTTCTGCCCTCCTCTGTAGACTGCATGCCTGTGGAGCACAAGTATTCACTCAGGCAAAAAACATCCAAGCCCATTGAAAGAAATGAAATAAAAACATCCAAGCCCATTGAAAGAAATGAAATAAAAACATCCAAGCCCATTGAAAGAAATGAAATAAAAAATTTAAAAAGTAAGAGAGATGCCTTCAGATGTACACACTGAAATATTTTGATCTGATATGATATAATATCTAGGTGTAGATATAAAATAATCTAGAAGAAGGAAGGGAGGGATAAGAACACTAGTAAAATAAGATTGGTCCTCAATGGGAATGGTGGCACAAGCTTTTAATCCCATCATCAGGAAAAAGTAGGTGGATCTCTGTGAATTAGAAGCCAGCCTGGTCTACATAGCAAATTCCAGGCCAGCCAAGGCTACATAGTGAGATCCTGTCTCAGAAAAAAATAAGCAACAACAAAACAAAAAATCTGCTGAGCCATTTCACCAGACTCTACTAAGTAACAATTTGAAGTAAAAAAAAAAAAAAAACATTTGTTCAGATGCATAGCATGGCATATTTGAGAGAGGGTGTGGTTTATTTTGTTTTGTGATACTGATGTTCAACCCAAGTTTCACATAGACCAAGCAGATAGTCTGCCATTTAGCTCACACACCCAGCCCATTTGACTATTTTGAAATCCATGTTATTGATCAAATGCCAAAAGTCTACAAGGCCCTGATGAATGGCCCCAGGGCTTGTGTTTTCCAGCACACAAGCCCAGATTTCTCACTCCCTGACCTCTGCGGGAAGGATGAAGGTGAGGACTCTAGGAAGGAGGGAATCGTGCTGTGACCCCGACCCCGTTTGGCTGCCCGTGACCACAGACAGCAAAAATGTTGTGATCCGAGAGACACTGACGTCTCAGCCTGTGCGAATGAGGACCAGAGCCGGCAAGGTATCTGATTTTGTCATCAGCCAGCCGTCAACACTTCAGAAGACCTCCCGAGTAACCCTCAGATGAACCAAAGCAAAGGCAATTACACCTCCTGAGCACCCGGAGCCAGTCACAACGTACAGGTTCCCCCCGGGTGGGTGGGAGATTTCCAGGTTTGAGTATATCTGCTCACTCAAGGCATAGCTCATGACTGGAATCATATAGGACTGGACTGAGTTTGTCATGTGTAATGGTTAAGCCCTACGGGCACAATGAGGTGCTGAGTCTTGCTGAGCGAAAGTGAAAACAATTGTTTGGTGAATGACCTGCTGCTTGCCCAGGACAAGAGTCTGGTGCCCTGGGGATGGAGGTGGGAGAGCCCGCCATTATTTGCCACAATGAGAATCTTGTGCTAGAGTCAATGCTACGTAAGCCTTGTGAAGCCAACACTGACTCTCGACACATTAAGTAAGAAGAATTCCCACGATAAAATATGGTAAGTCATCTTGGCACGGAAGCCTTGGGTCTCGGTACTGAGGATTAAGCCACGCAAGTGTCTCGTTGGAAACGCGTTAGGGACATCTGCCCCACTGTCTTGTTGCCATTGCTACAAGGAATCTTCCACCTCCAGGTAGCCAGCAGGACGAAATGAAGATCAAACGTCCTGTCTTGAAATATAATTCCGGCCGGGCGTTGGTGGCACACACCTTTAATCCCAGCACTCCGGAGGCAGAGGCAGGCATCCAGATCTCTGTGAGTTCAAGGCCAGCCTGGTCTACAGAGCAAGTTCCAGGACAGCCTCCAAAACAATACAGAGAAACCCTATCTCGAAAAACCAAAAAAAAAAAAAAAAAAAAGGAAGACTACAATTAACATAAGAAAAACTATGTACAATAAGTATATACAATATATACAGACAATAAGTAGTACATCAAGAACATCTAGTCCATTTGCATTTTACAAATTCAGAGAAAATACTCCATTTTCTCTTCTCTCTTGGTGAGTCCAAAGTCTTGTACTTAATTTTCTTTCTGTCCTAATTTGCATTACCAACTCAAAATTATCTTTTTATGTCTCTCAACCTATCCCTGGCATTGCATAAACTGGACGTAGTGGTTCATGTATATGGGAGAGGTGGAGGCAGGAGGATCAGAAATCCAAGGCTATCCTTAGCTACGAGCCAAGTTCAAGGTCGGCTTGGGCTACTTAAGACTTTTTCAGAAAGAAAAAGAGAGAGAAATCTGTCGTAGGAGAAATAGAGCCTGAAAAACATGCTTGAGAGTCGAGGAAGGCCTCTCAGAAGGAACATGGTAAAATGGAGATTACCCAAGGACAAGATAAAGTTAGTGACGGAACCATTTTATCCCTAAGAACTCACACACATGAGTGTAGTTGGTTTTTCTATTCTTTGCTCTTTGGGGAAGCCCGCCACCCAGTTCCCAAATAAATCACACAGAGGCTTCTCATGAATGCCTGGCCTTAGCTTGACTTGTTTCTGGCCAGCTTTTATTCATTTACTTTTACTTTATGCGCATTGGTGTTTGCCATGGGTGTCGGGTCCCCTGGAACTGGAGTTACAGACAGTAGTGAGCTGCCATGTGGTTGCTGGGATTTGAACCCAGGTCCAGAGAAGAGCAGTCAGTACTCTTAACCACTAAGCCATCTCTCCAGCTCCTAACCAGTTTTTCTTAAATTATCCATCTACCTTTTGCTTCTGGACTTTTATCTTTCTCTAATCTATATACCTTTCCTTACTTCTAATTCCATGGTTTATGGTGTAGCCGGGTGGCTGGTCCCTTGCATCTTAGTCTCCTTCTCCTGCTCCTCCATCTTCTCTTCCCAGGTTTCTCCTCCTATTCATTCTCTTGCCTTGCTGGCCCCGCCTGTTTCTCTCTCCTGCCTAGCTATTGACCATTCAGATCTTTTTTTTTTTAGCCCAATCAGGCGTTTTAGGCAGACAAAGTAACACAGCTTTACAAAGTTAAGCAAATGCAACATAAAAGGA